AGAAAGAGAGACAAGGGAAATCAACGCGTAGCATACCTAGCGGGCTTAAGCAAGTGGATGACAGAACATGGCCTGGGGGAAGTAGCAAAGAGATAATAAAAGTTACTGAGAGCTACAGGGGTTAGAGAGAAGCGGAGGGTCATGATCGCCTACGTCCTGAAGGGACTCGGCACAATAAAAAACTGTAACTGGAACTCGGGACTCTGATTAAAAATTCCGAGGCATTATCCATTACACCACCTGCACATCCAAGCTTACAGCACCTGGTATTCCCAACCGGTCACCTATCTAGGTACTGACCAGGCTCGAGGTTGCTTAACTTCGGTGATCGTCCGAGAACCGGTATTTCTACGTGATGTTGCCATAATCCAAAACAGAACGTGGCTTCATCTCTTTAAGGTCTTATTATGGCGGTGGAGTGTATTTGGGGATGTACAGTAGAATCCCTCATATCCGGAATCCCTTATATTCGGAGTGCCTCATATCCGAAATCCCGCATATCCGGACATGAGTTTGATGTGTATATTTGAACTATCTGGGTGATATGTAACTGATTTGAAATTCCTGTTTTTCAGGAAATTTACTTTGGATAATTGTTTATCCTTCTTTCACCCTAATGACAAAAAGTGGAAATTTTAAACAGACTAGACGCTGGTGAAAGTTCATTGTAACTAATGCCTGAGTTCAACATAGGCAAGTCAACATTGTATGATACAAAATCTTCCAAAAAAAACTATAGGGTTTGCACTATCACAATGAACAAGGAAATAAAAAAAATGATTGTGATGAAACCTGAACTGAAATTGAAAAAGCTATTGAAAAGGTTGTCAGTTTTATGCAAAGAAAGCCAGCATTCATCTATGACAATTGCAATAACGCACGCAGAGTTAAAAAGTGTATTTCGTTTTAAAAAATTAAAAACCGAAAGCAAAACAAAACACAGAAAAGTTGAGAATGACATTAGAAGAGAAAGGATCATCATGCAACAGTAATTAAAAAATCCTCGTTACATTATTTGTTTTGCATACGTGGCAGACTTAATTTAATGAATTTTGATTAACATTACACAATTTATTTCTTTTTCCTTAAAATCAGTTCCGTTATATTTCATTCACCATCAGCTTAATTTGTTTACTATAAAACATTGAAAATAAATGTTAAACCTGATTTCAGTTCTTTTATTTTAATCTAAATATAACCCCTCATCTGCGGACTGTGTAACCAATTCTTCATATCCGGAAGACCTTCTTAGTCTGTTTGTCAGGGATTCTACTGTATAAAGAAATATCAGCGATCAGCTTGTTCGTTTTAGTGTCCCACATATCCGGAATCGCTCATATCCGGAATCGCTATATCCAGAATCCCTCATATCCGGACCTTGTAACCAATTCCTCATATCCGGAAGGCCTTATTAGTCCGGAATTCTACTGCACATGTCGGAGTTATTTTCCGTCGCGCCATTTTTAATCACAAGACTGATTATTAAGTAAGAGATAAAATAAAAGTTATCATTTTTCGCTATGGAGTAGTTCACGCCAAAAAACCCTGGTTTTGAATGGCCACATTTCTCTCTGTTCGTATGTAACACATCAGTCTTTGGCTACTGGAGCGATTAATCACAGCAGTTCAGCGATGCCGGCCCGCCCGCCCTTCTGGTTGCATTGTGACAGTTCGTAAATGTTCTCCTCTGGTTTGGGTATATTTGGTTATAAAAATACTTTTTTTCTTTAAATAGGCGTTAGATACGCTGAACATGACCAATAGAAAAGACTAAAGTTTGGAACGAAAATTAATTTTTTAGAAGGTTAATAGACACAGAAGTAAGGTGAAAGAGAGGTAAAAAAAATGTTCGGAGCAGAAAGCGAAAGGAAAACATTTCCACTTCTTTGTCTGCTGTGTCCCCTACGGAGGAGGTGATTATAGCTTTCTACAACTTCCTATCACTTCTAGCTGGTTTGGTTTGTTTTGTTTTGCTTTACGACATATCGACCTCAATGGGTTATTTAATACCGACAAAATTTTTATTGCTGGCAATATTTCTTTTTACAAAAATATATTGTTGCTAATATTTTTCCTTCAAAAATCTATTTCTGGTAATATATTTAAAAAAATGTATAGCTGGTAAAATTTTTTTCATAAAATGTATAGATTGTAATATTTTTCAAGAAATGTTTTCAAAAAATGTATTGCTGATAATATTTTTCAAGAAATATATAGCTGGTAAATTTTTTTTCAAAAAATGTTTAGCTGGTAATATTTTTTCAAGAAATGTTTAGCTGGTAATATTTTTTTTCAAAAATGTATAGCCGGTAATATTTTTTTTCAAAAAATGTATAGCTGGTAATATATTTTTTCAAAAAATGTATTGCTGGTAATATTTTTTTTCAAAAAATGTATAGCTGGTAATATTTTTTCAAGAAATGTATAGCTGGTAAATTTTTTTCAAGGAATGTATAGCTGGTATTTTTTTTTTTTTTGAATGATGTATTGCCGGTAATATTTTTTTTTATCAAAGATGTATTGCAGGTGATATTTTTTTAAATGTAATGTTTGTGATATTTTTCCTTTAAAAGTCTATTACTGATATTATTTCTTTTCGGTAGAATGTATAGCTGGTAATACTTTTTCAAGAAATGTACAGCTTGTAAAATTTTTTCAAATGATGCATAACTCAAAATATTTTTTTCAAAAATATATTGCTGGTAAAATTTTTTAAATGTATTGCTGTTAATATTTTTTCCTTTTAATTATCTATTACTGGTATTATTTTTTTCTCAAAAAATCTATAGCTGGGAATATTTTTTTCAAAAAATCTATAGTTGTTAATATTTTTTTTCAAAAACGTACTGCTGGTAGCATTTTTTTTTTAAATATTGCTGGTAATAATTTTTTTTTCTTCAAATATTTATTGCTGGTAATAATTTTTACAAAGTATTTCTGGTATTAAAACCAATCCCTTGTAGATCTTTGTCTTTCTCTTATTTCTTCTAAGCCTTGTTCTGCAATCCATTTACTCAAGCTCACTAAGTATGCTATTCTTTGTTTTCCTCGGCCACACTTGCCCGCCATCTGTCCCGTGAGTATCAGATTTTCAAATCCTTCTTTCCTCATTATATGCTCCAGAAACATCAACTTTCTCTTCTTGATGCTAAGTATTAGTTTCCTTTTGGTTTCCATTTTCTCTAAAACTGTGTCGTTGCTCACATGTTCTGTCGGTGATATTCTCAGCATCCTTCTGTAGAACCATATTTATGTTCCTTTAAGTCTCTTTTTCATCTATGTAGAGATCGTTCAGCACTCACTGCCATACAGGAGGACAGATATCACGTAGGGTTCGAGAAGAGTTGCGTACTGGATATTTGCAACCTGGGAAATTACGTACCAAGACATTTACATCCTGGATAATTGCTTTCCTTGAAAAATTTCTCCCTAGATAATTGCGTACCTCTGATAATTTTTTAAGCTTTTAAAGACAATTACCATATTTTTTTTTAAAAGCGTAGGTAGTAATCCTATTTTTAAAAAAAAGAAATAAAAAGAATAAAATAAAAGAATTAAAGTTTATTTTTGTTTAAAATGCAATGACAGATTAACAGAGTTGAAAAATGTTTCTACACATCGCCAATATGTTTTTATTTCATCGGCGTCTTTCTTATGATAGTTGTAGCTGTAATTTTCCTCGTCCACAAATATTTTCCCACCAGTATTTGATTTTAGGAACTTAGTCATGGGTTCCAAATAAAAATATAATCTATAAAATCCAGAATCTCTTAGATGTTTGTGGTACACACTGCTGGAGTGAATTGAAACTGCTAGCTTAATTTTCTCTTGCTTTAAAAAGTAAATTTATCTCTCTTTTTTTATTTATGGTAACTGCCTCCCCACTTCTTTAGAATAATTAAAATATTGGTGTGTAAATTTCTATATTAAACAACTCTTTTAAAAAGAAACGGTAACTACAAAAAATTATCAGAGGTACGTAATTATCCAGGGATGTATTTGTCTAGGGACGCAAATGTCCAAGGGCACAATTTTCTGGTATGAAATTGTCACCGTCCACCATCACGTAGCGGTTTAATACTCTTTTCCTTGTTTCTATTTCTTTCCAGGTCTTAATCTTATGCTTAGCTTTTGTAATACTTCCTTTGATATCCTAATACACCTTCGGATTTTAGTGTTGCTCTTGCTGTCTTTAAAAAATATCATTTCCTTCATTTTTATTTTTCGAAATGACATCCAGAACATTTAATCGTAGCAAACGCGGTAGAAAAATGAATTAAGTACTCGAAAATAGAAGACAAAATGACTCGGATTTATTAAAGCGGGACTATGCTAAGAAAACAAGAATTCCTATCAGGATCTAGTATCAAGTTAACATCATTGGGCTCGTTGTTGATAGACACAGAGAGAAAACTACAAGAACTTCTATGCAAAGTAGTAAATGAAAGCCTGAAGAACTGACTAAATTGTTAAAAGACAGAAAAATACGGTCGTGAGCAAGGGTAACAGCTCAGGGTGCGAGTCATGGATTCGAGATGTCAAAATCAATCAAATATTAAAAGAAGAGACTGAGATAAAAAAAAGAAGAGATTGGGATAGATAGATAGATAGATAGATAGACAGAGAGATAGATAGATAGATAGATAGATAGATACGGATAGATAAAAAAAGAATGTGATAGTTAGAAAGAAAGAAAGAAAGGAGAAGAAAAGAGAAGAGATTGGCATAGATAGATAGATAGATAGATAGATAGATAGATAGATACGCATAGATAAAAAAAGAATGTGATAGTTAGAAAGAAAGAAAGAAAGGAGAAGAAAAGAGAAGAGATTTAGATAGATAGATAGATAGATAGATAGATAGATAGATAGATAGATAGATAAAAAAGAATGATAGTTAGAAAGAAAGAAAGAAAGGAGAAGAAAAAGAAGAGATTGGGCATAGATAGATAGATAGATAGATAGATAGATAGATAGCATAGATAAAAAAGAATGTGATAGTTAGAAAGAAAGAAAGAAAGAAGAAAAAGAGAAGAGATTGGTATAGATAGATAGATAGATAGATAGATAGATAGATAGATACGATAGATAAAAAAAGAATGTGATAGATAGAAAGAAAGAAGGAGAAGAAAAGAGAAAGATTGGAATAGATAGATAGATAGATAGATAAAAAAAGAATGTGATAGTTAGAAAGAAAGAAAGAAAGAAAGAAAGAAAGGAGAAGAAAAGAGAAGAGATTGGCATAGATAGATAGATAGATAGATAGATAGATAGATAGATAGATAAAAAAAAGAATGTGATAGTTAGAAAGAAAGAAAGAAAGGAGAAGAAAAGAGAAGAGATTGGCATAGATAGATAGATAGATAGATAGATAGATAGATAGAAAAAAAAGACCGTGATAGATTGAAAGAAAGAAAGCGAAGAGACTGGCATAGATAGTATTATGGTCCAAGTCCTTGTACCACGGTGATAGTCCAAGGTAGAACCAATAAAGAAGAACTCGAACACGTATATGGAACAACACAGATATATTACAAACAGGAATATAAACAGAGAGGTAGAAAGTGTTAGTACGAACAATCAGGTTTAGTAGTAATTGTCTGAACGCGACTCTGTTTCGGACTGCCTCTAACTCGACTGACAGACTCCTGACGGACTTCACTCCAGACTTCAGACAGTATTTAGTCACTCCCTCCCACGAGGGTATCATGTAGCACAAGGCCGGTTTAACGTGAGATCTCCGAGCCCGTGGGATCTCTGAGCACGTGGGATCTCCGAGCCCGTGGGCTCAGCCAAAAATATATCGGTTTACCTCCCCGAAGGAGACTCCGCCTTTCGGCGTAGCCTCGTTCGGGTTCCTCCACGCCCGAAGGCAGAGTGTTCAACCGATCAGCCGATCAGCCAGTAGCCCGACTTCTGACTGAACGGTATTTAGTCACCCACCACCACCACCACCACCTCACGAGGGCATCATGTGTCACAAGGCCGGTTTAACGTGGGATCTCCGAGCCCGTGGGCTCGGCCAAAAATATGCCCTTTTAAAACCCGTATAAATGGGTTCAGGGTCGGTTTACCTCCCCGAAAGAGACTCCGCCCCTCGGCGTAGCCTCGTTCGGGTTCCTCCCCGCCCGAAGGCAGAGAGTTCAATCGATCAGCCGGTCGCCCGACTTCAATTTGAACTCCCTGCTTCCTCTTGAGGCGCAGTATTTATTACGTATGGTCTAGTCCATTATGTTATTATAGGTAAGGTCCCATAACAGATAGATAGATAGATAGAGAGAGAGAGAGAGAGAGAGAGAGAGAGAGAGAGAGAGAAAAAAAAAGACTGTGATAGAAATAAATAAATAAAGAAAGAAAGAAAAACAGAGAGAAGAGAGGAAATTGGCATAGATAAAGAGAATGATAGAAAAAAAACTATAATAAAAAGAAAGAAAGAGAGAAGAGAAAATAAGAAACTGGCATAGATAGATAGATAGATAGATATGAGTAACTTAACTAAGGAGCTTGTTTGAATGGATGGCAGAACAAGGGGGAGTAAAGACAAAAACTATTAAGAGTTATAAAGAAGAGGAAGATGAGGAGGACCATAATTTGCTTAGTAGTTTACACAGAAGACAAATAATGAAAATACAATATAAAAGTTTACTATTCGTCTATGCATTGACTATTGATACCACACCTGGTCTGGTATTTCTATATATTTAGAGATTCTTGATTAAATACAAAGATAAATCTGCAATGTTATTAGTGTCGACCTGGCATCTCAGCTAAAAAGTCATTATCTCGCGGCCGTAACGTAGCTTCCCTGTGTCTTTTCTAGAAATAGCTTTATGGTTATTATTCTTTTGAGCTTTCCTCTTTGATACGTAGAGTTCATAAATTTAAACGTTGTAATAAATTGAAAGAAGATGTCATCATTTTACAGTTGGAAAGGCTAGATGCAACCGTAAGTTCTATGATAACAGTTTCTTCGTTCGTACTTCTCATTTGTGGAACATTCTGCAGGCTTCTTGCTTTCCACTCAACTGTGATCCTGAAAAATTTAATTGCAGCGCTAATCGTTATTTTATCTCTTCTTATTTTTTTGTTATTTTACTGTTATCTCTCTTTAATAATTTTTTTTTTTACTCATATTCTTTCACACTTTGTAACCCCTTGTGTTTTAGCGGAATTATTGTCTTGCTTGGGGTGAAATGATTAAAAAAGAAAATTAAACGTAACTCGATTTTTCAAACTTCAGCAATAGTTTCACTTCACTTCCGCTATAGTTTTAAATCTTTTTCTTTTAAATTAAAGTTTTTTATCTGCTGGTCATGAGCAACAAAACTTACTGAATATAAGAACGAAGATTATTTTCTCATACTGAACAAAAAAAAAATGTCATTTCGTTTATTTGGAGAGGACAAAAAGGAGAAATGGTAAAAGAAAAAGGCTACACCTGACAAAAAATTTCTTCCATTTTTTTTCGCCTCTTGAGTAAGGGTTTTCAATAAATAAATATTAATGAAACAGAAGCAAGACACGGTGACTTTTTCAAGCAAAACAATTCCTTAAAAATCTGGAACTTGGCCAGTTGAAACCACAGACATCATCATCATCGTATTAAGGTTATTTTTTTTTGTATCTAAGAAAGAATGAAGCGTTGATGTTGGTACGAGTGAAAGCCTTAGTCTTAGAGAAATCGAAACGAAAGGTTTACAGTAGTATTTTTTCAGTTCCCGTTTTGTAAAGTGCATTATGGGATTAGATGTGACGATCTATGTCAAGAGAAAAAAAGACGAAAATAAAAAGAGAAAAAGAATTGGCGAAGAAAGGAAGGGTAAAAATAGAAGATGAAGAAGGAGAAAAGAGAAAGAAAGAGATAATTTCAGAAGATAAAAAAGTGAAATATGCTGAAGGCAAAAATTGTGCTGAAGAAGAAGAAGAAAAAGAAGAAGAAAGGGGGTGCTGATGATGAAGAATGAATGAAAGAATAGTGATGGTTAGGGGTAAGAGTTTGACCAAAGACGAAAAACAAGAAAGAAGAACGAATGAGTCATTTACGAGGAAGAAGCGTAAGAGATTTGAGTTAAGAAGAAGAAGAAGGAGAAGAAGGCGAGGAGGGGCGGAAGAAATAAAAAATGAATAAGAGTAGCATAAGAGTGAGAAGATTTGGGGGAAAAGAAAACAAATGAGAGAGACGGAAGAAGAAGAAGAAGAAGAAGAAGAAAAGGGGCGATGATGAAGAAGAAAGAAATGAAAGAATAGTGATGATTAGGGTTAAGACTTTGAGCAAAGAAGAAAAACAAGAAAGAAAGAGAAGAACGAATGAGTAATTTACGAGGAAATTTTGAGAAAAGAAAAGAAAGAACAACAAAAAAACGATTGAGAAAAACGAAGAAGAAGAAGAAGGAGGAGGAAGAGGAAAGGAGGGGGCGGAGGATGGAGTTAAAAAATGAATAAGAGAATCATGAGAGTGAGGAGTGTTTGGGGAAAAGGAAGCAAAGAGAGACGGAATAATAATAATAATAATAATAATAATAATAAATGAGAGGGGAAGGTAAGAAATTGAGACAATGAAGGAAAAACAAGAAAGATTTCTCGTAGAAAATTAAAAATAAGAAAAAAGAAAGAAGACGAGATCTAAGTTAGGAGCCAGGATGGGAAATACAATTCCGCGAGGCTATCTGGGAAAACAAGAAAACAAAGATTATTCAGAGGAGAGACAGTTATGAATAATGTTTGAACCAGACATAATTCTCTCTCTTTGTTTCTCTTGATAAAGAAATTGACAGATAAATCCCAATCAGTTGAACGAAAAATCGATACATCAATATTTTGTATAAACTCCAAGTAAAGTATTTAATATGATCATATACATGTGACCAGTTTCATGGCTAGAGTAGCCGTGTTTCTTCCCCAGCTGCTAAAGTTAAGTGTTTGAAACGAGTTAGGAAAGAATTTCGAATAATTTTATTTTTGTATCTATGAGTCCGTGTAGCTTACTAAGCATATAATCGATAATTTTCACACTAGCATAACCATTGTTTGTTACTTCTTCTGTCGCTCCATAAATATGGCTTAAAGATTGTGCTGAGACATCAAACAAACTACTCTCCACTTGGCTTTGACCTCTCTGCTCAATCTTATATTTATAAACGCTCAATCTGGGATATTAAGCTCATTTACCCCATAAACATAACATACCTTAAAATTATATATATATATATATATATATATATATATATATATATATATATATATATATGAGAATGTTAGAGAATGCGAAGACCGGGGCCAGATTGGTCGGAGATAATCGTGGTATTCTGGCAGTCGTTGGGTGTATTAGAAAGAGAAGAGGAGGATGTGAAAAAGAAAAAGAAAGAAGAAGAAGAAAGAGGAAGAAGAGGAAGAAAGAAGAAGAAGAAGAAAAAGAAGAAAGAAGAAGAAAAAGAAAAAAGAAGAAGAAAGAAAGAAGAAGAAAGAAAGAAGAAAAAGAAGAAAGAAGAAAGAGGAAGAAGAAAGAAGAAGAAGAAAGAAGAAAAAGAAGAAGCAAGAAAGAAGAAAAAGAAGAAAATAAGCCAGAAGAAGAAAAAGAAGAAGAAGAAGAAAGAAAGAAGAAAAAGAAGAAAGAAGAAGAAAGAAAGAAGAAAGAAAGAAGAAAAAGAAGAAAGAAGAAGAAGAAAGAAAGAAGAAAAAAGAAGAAAGAAGAAAGAAAGAAGAAAAAGAAGAAAGAAGGAGAAAAAGAAGAAAGAAAGAAGAAAGAAAGAAGAAAGAAAGAAGAAAAAGAAGAAGAAAGAAAGAAGAAAAAGAAGAAAGAAGAAGAAAGAAAGAAGAAAGAAAGAAGAAAAAGAAGAAGAAAGAAAGAAGAAAAAAAAGAAGAAAGAAGAAGAAAGAAGAAGAAAGAAAGAAGAAAAAAAAGAAGAAAAAGAAGAAAGAAAGAAGAAAGAAAGAAGAAAAAGAAGAAAGAAGAAGAAAGAAAGAAGAAAAAAAGAAAGAAGAAGAAGGTGGAAGGGAAGATAAGCAAGGGTATTATAACGATTTGGGTGGCGGTAAAGGTTAATTGAAATGTACATTACTTTTTTTAAAAAAATCAGATGCACAACGTTGGGTGTATTAGAAAAGGAGAAGAAGAAGAAGAAAGAAAGAAAGAAAGAAAGAAAGAAAGAAAGAAAGAAAGAAAAAGAAGAAGAAAAAAGGGAAGGGGTATTATAAAGGTTTCGGTGGGGGATCGGTATTTGAAATGTACATTTATTTTTTTATCCAGCCTCATGTGTGATTAATAGAAATTTCCTAATATGTAAGCAAGGACTCAAGACTTGGGATTTCTGGTTCTACAGGTTTTGTTCGTAGAGGTTGCAAATATTGTTGTGGTTGTTGTAAGGCTTTGCCTTCTTTAAAATTTTCCACCTTGCAATCGAATCACTGTTGCTTTTTTTTCCCTTTAAATTCCACACATGGTCAGCTAGTTTGGTAAAGTATCGAAGATTTACTAGTTTAAATGACGACCTTTGAATGTACCACTTAAGTTTGAAAAGCAAGGATATTATAAAAGTATTCACTTTTTATCCAGTCTCATATATGCTTAAGAGGAAATTCCTAATATGTATGCAAAAACTCAAGACTTCGGATTTCTTGTTCAGATAGTTGTTTGTATCCGGAAATGCGTTGACACTATTTGGCTTGCTAAAAAAGAAAGAAGTAAAAAAGAAAGGCGAGAATTAAATTTAGGTGATAAGAAGCCATCACGAAAAGGACACTAAGCGGTGTTATTTTTCTGACAAGGAAAAGTGGTAAGATTTTTATTTTCCATTGTCGAGAAAGGAAGATACTGGATTTAATCTGATTTATGTTACGGGGAGGAGAATGAGATATGGCCAATCTGCCCATGGCAATGGTGGAGGTTCCAGGTTGCTCGGATGACCTGCAAAACAGAATTCTAAAGAGATAAAAATTAATTGGGTCGCAGAAAAATGTCTGATTGGATCAACCGCAGAATTTAAAAAAAACAAGAATGCCCGCTGACCACCATGAAGGAAAGGTTAAGCCTTTGTCTATATGTAGAATATCGTTTGGAAAAAGCATCTGTTTATTGTCGGGACTAGATATGATAAGAAATTTATTTTATCGGGACGAAAAGTTGGCTGTGTTTCGCCAGATGACCACCCACTTGATAATTGGCGAAGATCTCGTTGACGAATTCCATATGAAATTCGATTGCGATTAAGGGAAAGAAAAAGAAAAGAAAAAAAAAGGAGATAAATTTTTTTTTTCTTTGAGCAAGATTTTTTTAAACCGAGGCTAGTCTGGCCACACCCACGCTACTGAGCGCCCATTGGCTGAATGGTAGCATGGGCGTTAGGTGGAGGTGATCATGTGAAGAAGGAGGGGAGGCCTGTTGCGCCCCCCTGAAGGGATAGGTGTGAGATGCCACTGTGAGAGAGAGGGGAAACCCGTTGACACCCTCTGAGGGCATGGTGAGATACCAATATAAGAACAGAAGGTGGAAAGGCGAAAGACTTCCAAAAATAGAAAATAATAAGATTTTCCTGACCGAAAGAAGAGGATTGTGGGTTTGGAATTATCAAGGAACCTCAAACCCCGACACGCCCACCACGGTTTTGGTCGGCGTCCATTTAAGCACAGTCGCAGCGAGTGAAAAGTTGAGTTCCAGTTGAGAGGCAGTTGAGTTAAGTTCGAAGTTCGCAGTTGACTCATACCACCAAGAACCAGTTTCTTAAAGAACAAACAACTTCAGATGTTAAGACTCCCCTAACAAAAACAAAGTGTCACGAATCCATATAGCAGGTTGGAAAGAAGACGCAGTCCTGTATTCAGCAAACATATATAAAATATTGTCCTTTGTTATTATTTACTTTTCTTTTACATATACTTGTGCGATATCGCCCTTGTTCGAACTCGACTTGCATTACGGCCCGGCCTCATCTACCTAAGATCAAACCACAACGTGGGTAGGTTAGACTGGAAATCAAAGCAGTTACTTCGGTAACCAGACGTTGGAGGCGAGCTGGGAACGACAAGGCTGATACCGAATCTAACCAGATTCCCATCCGAATCACCAAAAGGTTAGAACGTCACATTTGGTGCCGCGACCAATACCAAGCCAGTTGGTCGTCGCCGGGCAGGATAGTCACATTTGGCGCAGCGACACCAGGGGAACGTCACAATTGTCATAATCGCTAATTTTTCCTGCTGGCAGAGGTTGCAAATATTATTGTGGTTGTTATAAAGCTTCGCCTTTTTAAAAAATAAATTCCAGTTTACAATCGGATCCCTGTTGTTTTTCCTTTAAAATTCCACACATGGCCAACAAGTTTGGTAGATCATCTAAGATTTGCTAGCTTAAATGACGACCTATGATTGTACCATCTTCGTTTGAAAGTACCTTCAGTACATCCTATGTACGTTTTAATTTAGGCATTAATATCTGCTTTACAGATTATTACTTCGGGTTTACTAGTTCCATCTAATGGACATCTATTCTTATTTCTGCAGTTGCATAAATTACTAGTGTTAACTATATTTTGCTGCGCGTTAGTTATGAAATTTCTGGTATTTTGTCTATTTATAATATATATGTGTGTGTGCGTGATAGACATTATTAGGAGGATTTGAAATAATCATAATTAAGTAATTCATCGAGTCTAGTGGAAACCTTAACAGAATGCAGAAAGCACTGGACGGCCGTTTCGTTCTATATTTGGGACTCATCAGCAGTGCACATCCACTACCGAGAATTGAAACCCGAACAGTTACGATAGGAGGCAAACGCCATATCAACACACACACACACACACACACACACACACACACACACATATATATATATATATATATATATATATATATATACTTTAAAAATCAGGAGGTCAGTTGAATCCGCTACCTTGGTTTCAATCTTACGGCATCCTCAGGCGATTTTTATCAGATGACCTTTATTTTTTTTAAAAAAAATAATGAACGCTATTTTATTTTTAAAAAATTAAATAAACTAACGACGTTGGGTAGAATAGAAAGGTTGGTAGAAGAAGAAGAAGAAGAAGACGAAGAAGAAGAAGAATGTATCGGTGGTGGGAGTAAATGAAATCTACTTTTTTTTATCCGGCCTCAAATATGCTTAAGAGGAATTTCCTAATATGCATGCAAAAACTCAAGACTTCAGTATTTCTGGTTCAAAAGGTTCTTTGGATTTGTAAATGTTATAATTTCTCATTTTTCTGTTGACAGAAGTTGCAAATATTATTGTGGTTGTTATAAAGCTTCGCCTTTTTTTTTTTTAATTTTCCAGCTGATATTCAGACCCCTATTGTTTTGTTGTTTTTTAAATTCCACAAATGATCAGCAAGATATACATAGAGAAGTGAAATTGAAAGAAACAAAATTTCAGTAATAAAATACAAAAATGTGTACAAAAAAGTTACAAAATAAAAACTCCACATTTACATAAAAAGTTCCCCACGGGAGTGAAACGCGTTGGTAAAGAAAAGTTTTTTTTTCTGTCTATTGTCTACAGATATATTTTATTTAGATTTGGATTTTTACACACACTCACAAACACATACGCTCACTCACACACAGAAACACACATTTGTTCCTTGTTTTCATTTCGCAAGTCGTTTTTCATCAAGGAAAATATTTTTGTATGCTTAAATTCTCATGGAAGAGAAAAAAATTGCTTTTCAAATGCCAGACCCTCGATAGATAAGAAAAATAAACATTAGGAGAGAAAAAAATCCTGACTGTCCCATTTTCAACAAGGAAAATATTTCCTCTCTGTGTCTATATATCTATCTTCCGGCCTACATTACTTTTTTGGCTTAAACAACAATTTAAGCACCTCATGGCGTCAGTGTCAGACTAACGTATTTTCTTTTTGTGTTACTCTATCATATAGAAACATGGAAATGTCTCCCTGGTTAGATTTATTCTATTACCTTTCACCTCTGTAAGCAAAGGCAACCCTTCATTTAGACGTGCACATTTTTTGACGCTTCTAGTCACACAAGGAGATATATCGTAACGGATGATTACGCCGTGATTTAAACATACGACTCCTGCAATGGGATACACTTAAAATTGCTGACCGTTACTAACAAAGATTGGTACCGCCAAAAGTTTTTTTCTGCAAAAGTGTATACCATGATGAAAAAGGCCTCCTAGTTTCATAAAAACTTTTAATCATTTCTAGCACATTCGAAATTTTGGTTAAATATCTTGTTTTTGTTGCGTCAGCAGTGGGCCAAGATTAGTATGGGAAAGTTTTAGCGTTTTCTTTTTGCGATAAAAAACATTGTTTTGGAAATTATTGCAAAAAAATAATTGTCGGATTTTAATGAAACTTTCAAAACTTATTCACAAATGAATGAAATTATTTCTGAAGTTTTTGTTAGAAAATCTTATTGAAAATATTTTCTGTTACCTCCAAATAATTTTATGAAATTTCGAGAAATTAAAATTTCAGCCTCTTTATATTTATATTAGTTAAAAGCAGGAGTCCTTGGAGAATTTAAATTATTAAATATTTTCTTTTTGTCAGAGAGAAAAAAAAAACATTTACCAAAATTCTGCTCTGAATTCTAAAATGAAAATGCAATAAAATTATGACAAGATTTAATTACAAAAGCTTTTAATTGTTTTAATAACAGATATTTAAGATATAGTGTCTTAAAAAATATCATTTTACGCGAATAATGAATTTTTACAAGAATTGTTTTCATTTTTTAAAATTTTAATTAGAAAAAAATTATTAAGTTTTAAATCTTAAAATTTTGTATTAATTTCAGCCTTTAAGATGATACTATTATTAATGAAAACTATATTTAATAGTAATGAATGGAAAAGATTCATAGAAATCATCATGATTTTGTTTGTGTATAAACGTGCCCATTTTTTAAATTTGGGCGACCATACACGAGATTATCAGAAAATAACAGCGATAACTATAGTAAATTTTAAATCAACATTTCTAAAATTCAATAAAACATTAGATTATGGAGAATGTTTTCCTAAATTTTTAAGATTATTTATTGCTTAAGAATTATATATATATAAAAACACGCTCACGTCATTTTCTTCAATAATCTTTTATAGATAAAGTTTTCCGTAGAACAACATGAGATCTGTCATCAGGCTGTCAACGCGTCAAAATAAATACTGTCGGATTAAAAAAAAAACAGCCACTCTCAAGTCAGAAGTGCATTTCTGCGATATTTTAAGCTTAAAGAAATAATATCTGTTTCAAATCAGAATAATTATACTTTAAACTAAATGATATTAATCAAATAAATTTTCAGAAAAGTATATTTTATTTTAAATCTAAACAAGGGCCCCGATCAGCTATTTTAGCAATATAAAAAACCTCTTTCAGTTAATTTAAATTACTTTTTGAAATACAGCAAAGTATTTCTCCTTATTGGAAATATTAAATTTAATCTATTAGATTGAAATTAAAAATAAAATAAATGTAACACCGTATCCTGACCACACTGGACCCACGAACACCACAAGACCGGTCGTTGGTCTGGTATCTTCCAGTATTACAGGTTAGACACAAGTCTCAGATTCCCTCAAATCGAAGCCCTCTCCAGCCACGGTATGATTGCTTTGATGCTGGAGAGTGGTCATCAGATCGTAGGAATCCGGAAGGTCTCCGTTGGTCCTCCTGCGAGTTCGTCGCGTGAGAATCGGGTTAACAGAAAAAATAAATATAACCAAGTGGATTCGATTTTGAAAGGACAAAGTTTATATTTTATATATATATATATATATATATATATATATATATATATATATTAGGCAGCATATGATTTACATACAAGAATTAATCACATAGAATTAATCAGAAGTATCAATGCGATTATTGGCGACATCCGTCACTAGAAAACATAATATATGCATTAAAATCCTGTTCATCCATAATGCGAGTTTTGATCCTTGAAGAAAAACTTGTTGTCTGTAGTTTTTCAGTTTATTCGATGTTAAAATGCTAGTACTTACGGACGGTCTTCCATCCATCATCAGGCATGTGTTTTTTTCTTATAAAATCAAAACTTGAGACGATATATCTGTATGTCGACGAAAGATGTTTTTGAATATCTGCTATTATTGACGGTTGTAAGACGTCTTTGCACGTTCCGAGATCTTACAACCGTCAATAATAGCAGATATTCAAAAAACATCTTTCGGTCGACATACAGAAAAAGAACACCATGATGCAATTCACTGCGCCAGAAATTTAGAAACGGCATGTACTGCAGAGGGTTCGAACAGAGTTGCACGGTGTCCAGTGGTGATAACGAATGTACAGCAGCTTGGAAAATTCACTCTTGTTCTGATATGAAAACAAAACAAAAAAAAAATTGTTAGTGAGAGACTCAAGCTCAACCGGGAAGCCTACATCAAATGCTTTGAGGAGATAATGATGCTCCTGGATTAAGAGGGTGGCTGTAGGAAGACCCTCTGTCGGGCAAAAGGACTCTACACCATGACACACAAGTAGGAGAACACGGTTATGGCTGTCAGACAATTTCTGCAACCACATCAGCCCTTTATATGTGTCCACCTAACTAAACAAATTTCAACACCCATGATTATTGTGTGGGGGGGGGCGCATTTGAGCGGGACACCAACAAAACTCCTTGTAACACCAAAGATGAACTGAAGGCAAGGATTATGGCAGTACTCAACAACTTAAACAAAAAGACCTTCCAGAATTGCAGGATATCCCGAAGCCGTCTGGGGCCGTGGTTGAAGCCAATGGCGATTTTATTGAATAAATTTACTCTTCAGTATTTCGAGTTATTTTTCTGTAATTTTGTTAAATAAATATATCTTAATATGAGTTTTTTTTTTTTTTTTTGTGTCAATTAGACGACAATTTATCCATCGCACCCTGTACACACACACGCACACAGACACACACACACACATATATATATATATTTGTGTATTTAGGCAGCAATACTTTTCATGCACATTTCATTGAATACGACAGATAAGGTGCTTTTATTTTTTTTTATATAATGTCTCATGTGATTTAATCATTTTTTTTTTCTTTTCAGATGATAAATTATGTAAAAACTGTCCGAATGTTCTTTTTATCCGAGCGCTTTCGGCTATACATTTAACCATTTTCAAGGATTAAATATTTTAACTGTTAAATAAGAAATAGTTTGTTGCATGTATGTATTTATATAATGTTTTCATTTTTCAAAACACGGTCAAGATATTGTGTCCATCTTCATTATTGATATTATTATTGTATTAGTATTTTTTGTTTTTATTAATAAGGCTTCCATTATTTTTAGCCTTTTTTGCATGTGGATGATGCATATTCAGGTATAGATGTAGATATATATATATATATATATATATATATATATATATAAAGAAAGAACAGCAAGATATATAATCCGGTGTTCTTATAGATATTTTTATTTTTACAAAATAGTGCTCAATGTAAATTTACAGAGCATTAATATTATAAATTAATTGATTTAAAATATGTTTTTTTCGCTACACAGTTCTAACCATGTTTCGAAAATGGAAGCTAAAAGCCACGAATTTAATTTTGTGATTAAATTAAAGACAAGAGTTCCATTTCATCCTCAAGCGAATTTATATATATATATATATATATATATATATATAATTAACGTCTTCCGAACGTATATCTCGTGTTAAAACATACTAATAAAGACAGCCAAAATTAAATAAAGTGCTTTTCTTTGGTCTCTTGACAAAGATGGTAATCGCAAGACAATTTTATTTAAAATCTTAGTCTTTTGAGGAATCCGGAGATCGCTCCAACTGTGAAACGACGCAAAAAGGTAAATAATTGGTTTTCTTTGGTTGAACGAACAATCGTTATCTGCGACAGATACAAACAGGGGACTTTACATGTGGTTAAGTTACGCGGTTCGTAAAATAATTATGGACGTCGACGTTAGTTTAAAAGAATTATAGATGTTTGGGTTTTTTTCACCGGCGAGAGAGCGTCACTTGAAATACGTGCATGGAGAGAGATGTCTTAATGATATTTGCCGATTGAGATAAAGAGATTTAGACGAACAAACAGCCAAGATGAAACATTTGGTGTTTTTCTTTAACTTTGAGACATGAGGAAATTTTTCTTTCTGACGTCATTTTCCTTAATAGCTAGCAATGATGCTTAGAGCAGGCATATATATGCATATTGATGAGAACGTACACTAAAAACAAAGGCATGTATACTAACGCTATACACAGGCATATATATATATATATATATATATATATATATATATATATATATATATATATATATATATATACTGTGATAGATATAAATAGAGTCGTATAGATAGGTGGAAATACCGATTGGTCGATATACAAATATATAGATATGATCTGACTGAGATATTTATATACAAAGCTAGATAAATTAGTCATATTGATATGAACAAACTGACATAGATAGATAGATAGATAGATAGATAGATAGATAGATAGATAGATAGATAGAAACAAGTTAAAAGGATCAGACATAGATTGCTGGATAGATAAATATGAATAAACTTAGATATGAACAGACTGTGATAGATAGATAGATAGATAGATAGATAGATAGATAGATATGAATAAATTCAGAGAGACTGACACATACAAACACACACACACTGATAGATAGATAGATAGATAGATAGATAGATAGATAGATGAACAAGCTTAGATATAGATTTTGATAGATAGATAGATAGATAGATAGATAGATAGATAGATAGATATGAACAGACTGTGATAGATAGATAGATAGATAGATAGATAGATAGATATGAATGGAATGAGATAGATAGATAGATAGATAGATAGATAGATAGATAGATATGAACAAGCTTAGATAGAGATTTTGATTGACTGATAGATAGATAGATAGATAGATAGATAGATAGATAGATAGATAGATATGGTTATACTAATAGAGATAAAAGACTTAGATACCTCTGTAGCTTATAATAAACACTGCTTGTGAAGAATAAGCTTATTTTGTGTGTTCGTGCTCAAATGCATACCCGATTTGTAAAGTTAATATTTATCGATCAAATTTCGCACATACTTACCCCTGTGTTCTGCAATCGATTATTGAATGCCCCACTTCTATGACCATCTGCCATACTAAGCAAGGATTCGTAAATACTCAGTAAGATTGTAGAGAAATACTCCTGTATTGTTTGTGTATGAATACTCTTTGCAAGGATGAAATGGCATCTCTATCCATTGTATAATTTTGAGAAATGTCATTAGCAAATGAATATACAGGTAGCGTAGTGATTATAGTAGGGGAAAATGGAACGCCGAGTTCACTAGCTTGCTGACTTCATTTTCGCATAAATACTTATAGTAAAAGTATAGACCCATTTTATCCTCCCCTCCCCAGCTATGGATTAAATAATCAAGACAGATAGGGCTATATAGACGTGGTCTGTAATCAGTCTAAGCGAACGGCCACTCTGAATTCCAGACCAGTTGGTCATAGGGGCAGTTAATCCATCACTTGATACAGAAACCACGGCAGAGAGTGCATCCCTATACTCCATAGGATCCCCAATATTCTTGAATGAAGGAGTATAGACTAGCCGTAAAGTAATGACTAACGTTACGGCACCAATAGCTTTCGATGAGGTATCTGTTGTTAAAATTAGCACGGCGTTTTCATCATCACTTAGGTAATTTTATTTTTACGAAGTTCCCCACGGATTTCTTTGCTTTTGGAAAAGAATCTAAAGCAAGGCCTTAAAAGTTTTTGCATTTCTTTTTCTGAGTGTTATTTAATATGTCTGTCAGTGGGAATAACTTTGATGAACAATGTGGCAACAATCTTCGACAGTAATTTATCACATATCTCAGAAGTTTAGAAGGTATCCTATTTGCAACGTAGACATTACTAAAAAAATTTGACAATTTCTTTTCTTCGGACTAGCCAGTCCGTGTAATATTAAACTTAAAATCTAAAGTGTCGTTCCATTGTCAAACGATGCTAAGAATAACTCTATATTTTTAGTTATTTTTGGTTATTCTTAGCATCGCTTGACAATGGAACGGAACTCTGGATTTTAAGTTTAAGTTTTATAATTAAATTTCGGATTGAAATTTCAGTTTTGAAACAGAAATCTCTGTGTCACGATGGAAACATTTAAAAAAAAAATTATAATATTATATTCTATTGTATCGAGAACTGCTTTTTAAAAATAAAAATAAATGCTAAAAACTCTGGATTATAAATCTCACTGTTCTATCCTATTATTTTAATACATACATAGATACATATATATATATAAAGAAATAATCCTACATAGAATCAATCAGCAATATTAATGCGATTAATGGCGAAATAACTTCGCTAGTAGAACATAATGTATGCATTAAAATACAGTTAATCCATTGAATGATGTGATCCTCATTTATAAAACTGTCGTCAGATGTTTTTAGTGTATATTTTTTTAAGTTAAGCAAGTACTTTCGAAGATCCATGTCTTCATCATCAGGCTGTAATTTTTTTCCTTTAAAGTTAAAAGTTGAAAACCTATATATATATATATATATATATATATTAACAAACAAGATTCATTACAAACGACGGGGTCTGTTTTTTTTGTCTTTTTTATTGTATTTTAACAATTTTCGGATAAGGTGTTGAGTATTGTGCTCGAAATTGTAAATAAATTGTCCGAAGTCAAGCTTTCCAAAGAATACCAGGATACAAACAAATGAATTCTAACTACGACACATACACCACATCGGTTCTTGATAATGACTTCGAAAGTCGGAGGTACTTAAACAAATATAAGAAAATATATATGAACTTGCACACGAATAATGTAAAGGATGAAGCACATTGTCGGCACTCAGAGTTGACATCGGTGCTCACAATTGTTAATTTATATATATATATATATATATATATATATATATATCGAGTGTAATTATCCATCTCACAAAATACCTAAAAAAGAATAATAAACTAATTGGGTTTCTCTTTTTCTGGGTTTCCGGATGTGACTTTTAGCCATCTTGACACGATTTGTGGTAAGTATCAATGAAAAAGCCTTTGAGTCATTTCAACTAAAAATAGAGCGGGTTAAATTTGTTTTGTGTCAGACACGCTATCTTTCCAACTGAACAATAATGGTAAAAAAATGATCATTCAGGCAGGCCTCCAGTAATGGTACCAACATTCATACTCTGGCTTCCATCTTCAAAGTCCATTCAAGAACCATCCAGAAAATGGTGAATATGTTTAAAAAAAAAAAAGAGGGAACAGTAGAGAGGAAAACTGGATCAGGAGGTCACAACAAGAAGAGGGATCATCGTTACAACTTAGATCTAAAGAGATCAATTAAAAAAAGATCCAACTCAGTCCCTAAAACGTTTAGGACATTAAAAAGTTGTTTCAGCTATGAAAGTCCAACAGTGTAAATAATGTTAAAAATGAAATCGTACGTGAAATCTGTGAGGCGCCTTCTTATTCCAGGACAGAAAGTTAGAAAATTAGAGAGGGCGAGGATCATCATCAATAAGTTTAAATATGACCTTGAAATATATATATATATATATATATATATATATATATACATATATATAAACTTGATTTCATTACTTCATGAGCTTCCGATCCTTAGCTATGATTAATTAATGATGAACACGTCATTTTCGTTTATGATAGAATTCATCACGAGAGTTCTGTAAAGCTTAGAGAGTAATTATAAATTCATGTTCCTCAAATTTGAGTTCAATAGAGTTATAAAAACCTCGGAGAATTCCAGTAATATATCTTTAATCATTTCTAAGATACAACGGTTCAGAGCTTAATTTAACAATTGTAAAATTTAGCTGTTACACCCGATAGTGTTCGTGTATGTATGTATGTGTGTGTGTGTATGCATGTGTGTGTGTATGTGTGTGTGTGTATGTATGTGTGCATGTGTATGTGTGTGTGTAAGCAAAAATGAATTGATGTTCTCTATTATACAATATAGCTGCTTTTCTTTCAAATCTGGTGTTCGTGAGATGTAATTGATTGCAGCTTGGGATGAGAAATCGGAGAGCCGAGTTCGAATTCCAGTCAGGTTAGTTACATTCACTTATGGACAACTAGCCTTGGGAAAGGTTAGAATCTGTCAACTATGCGGCCAGCTACTGGTTAAATGCTGGGGCATATCTGGAGAAATGATTGTTATCGTCAAAAAACTTATTGAAAAATGATTTATTTTTACACCTAAAATATGTTTCGGTTTAAAATGACTGGCACACGTATCAAGTAATCAAGTGATGGTGTTGAATGTATATGATTATACATTCAACACCATCACTTGATAACACACCAGAAGTTTAGAAACAAAATGGGTATTTTGTAGTGATTTTATAACATATTTACCGTTATAATTTTCGAATAAATAATTATATTTGCTCTACTCTGTATTGAGCAGTTTTTAAGAATAGTATTTGTTGGTTATTGGAATATATA